AACAAGTATGTGGCAAGTGAAACCAGCAACACAGCGCAAATAAACCACCCCTAGCACACACCGTAATTGTTGGGATCTTCGTTGATAACAAGGATTCTCAGAACGGTGAGCGAAGTGTTGAGAAACCCCACGAATACCTGCAGGATTGAAGTTTGCTCCTTAACATGCAGGATCCGAAGCGGTCGACATCATCAAGCCGCTGGCACAATGGGTGTGCTCTGGTGTTTCTCGGCATGCATGGTGTTGCAAAAACCAACACAATGACACATTAGGGCATGAGGGGTCAGAGGTCTATGCTTCGAACAGCAAGGCACTCGGCGCTCATCGACGGAACCGGCTGGGTGTCCCAGAAAGCATGCTCTCGTGCGCTGGCACGGCGAGACTCCTTCGGAGAGAAAAGCTGCGAATGTCTTCCCTGAAAGGGCTTGCCCGGACCATTCTACTTTGGTTTGTTCGTCTGACATCTACACAAAGCCGAGAAACGAAAATGAGATGAAAGAGCGAAAGATACTTCTGACATCTAGTGAGTCTAGTGACTGTGTGAATGCGGGTCATGGTGCATGATAGCAGTGCAACAGTTACAAAAAAGATTGAACAAGTTCCAAAACAAGGAACTCTCATCATCATCATCATCATCATCATCAACACCACCATCGTCACTGTCCTCACAAACATCGCTATCATCATAATCGCCGCTCAGATCGTCACTGGGATTATTAGCACTAGAAGCAAGGCTGCAGAACAAGGTCTCCTTTTTTTCACTGGTCTAAGTTCTGGTCTACGCGATCTTCCGGGAAATGGAAGCACAAGTGGTGCAAATCACACTGCAACACAACACAAATGCTACGCGCATGACTGCCGAACACCTCTGAACTCACATGAACATTGCCTTGCCCGGCAAGTCGAGAGTACAAACTTGTTATTTGAGAGCTCGGCAGCTGGCCCAAGAAGAGATGATGATTAAGACGTATGGAATTGCAGCATTCGGAAACATTTTCTTCAGGACAGCACGTACAGCTTGTTGGGGCCAGATCTTTGCACGAGTCTTGCTCTTCTACATTTCAAGCGTCAGAAGTCTTTGGGTCCCAAGCTCAGTTTTGAATAGAGTTAAAAGAATGCCGTGGGCCCTTCACAAGTAAGCGCACGACGTTGCGGGGTTTACAGCACGTGCTCTATCCGATAGATAAATAAACATATATATATATATATACAGATATGTATGTGTATATATGTATATAGATATGTATATATAAATATGTGTGTATATATATATGTATATATATGGTGCAGCACAGCTCCGATTGGGGAGAAAATCTCTTGCTTCCCGGGCAGGGTGTGCACCCGGCTGGCCATTCCATATTCCTACGGTTGGACGATGTTGATAGTTTGAGACAGCGAATGGCCTCGTCCTTCGAACTACTTCAACAATACAGGTGCAGAAAGCACTCGTTTGCCCTGAGGCCTCTGTATTGCTTGGATGCCTTGGCCCGTACGTCGTATTTGCATAAGATATCGCAACAGGAAAGCCGCGAAAGATCCGAAAACCTGACAACCTGGGCTGGCCGGCTCTTGGTTGCCTGAATGTCTTCGAAATCTACAAAGAAGCTGCTTGCATGCGCCTCGCAGGGACCTCGCTTCCGCAACATTTGCAGCAGCTGGGTCTGAGAGTCAGCGGTTTGCGTCTCACCCTCCTGCGAAGGAAGGCCCACCGTCTCCCTGATCGCCACTGCCAACCCTAAGAATGACAACGACGGCAAGTGTAACAACCTCCGAATCACCACTATCATCACCAAACTTGCTGGAAAATCAACGCAACCTCAAGATCATCATCAACGCCATCATCATGACCACCACCGCCACCGCAACATCAAAGCAACCAGAACTGCGCGTTTTGCAAAAGTACGCAGACAGCCAGCCAGGCGGGCAGGCTGGCAGGCACGCAGACAGACAGACAGACGGACAGAAACACGTATGAACGGGTATCTGCATCTTTGGAAATGTATATATATACACACACACAAACACACAACTACTGTACACATCAAGTTGTCTGTTCATTTTGGCTTCGATGATTGCCTTTCGTTTCTACTTACTCACTTGCCCCATATACTTCTTGCTCATCTGGCTCATCTTATGTCTTCGGGGTCGTTATATAGCTGACAAGTTAGAAACATACATAAACACATACGGATGCAGGCATGCAAGCATGCATACATGCATACATGTACATGCGCTCACAACAACAAATACGTCAACATGGGCACTTTCAAAGATCCTTGTGCCAGGACTGAACCCTTGTGCTTCCCTCGGCACGTCCTCGCCATCATTTGTCTCGGTGCTCGGGTAACCTCCGTCTTTCTTGCCGGCCTTCTTCCTTGGCTTTGGGAACGGCTGCTACGGGAATTTATGCAAAGGTTACACCCACTCGCTGTACGATAGAAGCATGTAGAAGACAGTGGACAGACGGCCTCGATGTTCCATTGCCCTTCAGGGTCCGTCTGAAGCTGCGTGCTATTGGCTTGCTTGAATTCTTTTGACGCCTGTTGCCGGGCACATTTAGAAGATCGCGAAATAATGAGCTCCATAGCAACCCCTGCTGACAGCAGCCAAGAGTCTTCTTCTTTTTCTTCCCATCCCCGGCCTGGGTTGCTTGCGACTGTTCTGGGTTGAATCTCAGGTGTGTGGCGGCTGGACCGAAGCCTCGGTGCTGCCTCCTTCTCCCTCGACTTCTTCCTCCTCAGCCTCCAGTTCCTGCCAAAATGACAATGCGGAATTCCCCAATTCAACTCGGCTGAACCGTGGCGAATTAATTCATTGGGAAGGCAACACCGGCGTCCTTGCTCGCGCTCTTGTCGCTGTCAGCCATGGCTTTGAACTGACTAGTGAAGTTCGGAACAGATGCTGTCTGTGGCTGAGAACCGGTTCGGATTTGCCAGGCGGGTCACCTGTTTTGTCTCAGCTTATTCGTCCAACCGTTCCTTTGCTGTCGTGAAGTTCCGGCTGAGCACACGAAGCGAACAAACCATCGAAACACCATGCCGCTCTCAGGCACAACATCAATTGTTGCGACATGATCGATTGCACTAGCTACGAAGCAACAGTCCGCATACACATGATCGTCGGCTGCACACGATACCAAACCCAAAAGGCTTACCCTCCAAGGTTCTGCAAAATGCTGACATGCTGCCTTTTCAGCCTCCGAACGAAGCCAGCCCCCCCTAGGCAAGGATCCACGAGATGAGGTCCTTGAGAAGAGCTGTCTGACATCGCACAGCCCTGGAGCACAAACACACATTACAGCATAGAGCTCTGAAAAAAATGCCCTGGCAGGAGCTCCGTTTACTGGCTCATCTGTTGATGGTCTGCCTGCGTGCAGCTACTCGGTGCACCGTCGTCGTCGTTCCAGTCGTCGTCGCCACCCTTCGGTGCCGGCATACCGTCGTCGTCGCCCAAGTTGTCATCGCCACCCTTCGGCGACGGCGCAGCCCAGCGCAACACCGTCATCGCCGCAGCCGTCATCGCCCCTTAGTTCGGTGAGTCGTCGGACCAGTCGTCGTCGCCGTTCGCCCGTTGTCGCCGCAGTCGTCATCATCGCCGCCGTCGTCGTCGTCGCATCGTCGCCGCCCTGCGTCCCGCGTCGCCCGCCAACGTGCAGGACCTAGTGAGCCGGCACCGTCCGAGCCGTCGCCGTTGTTTCCGCGCCGTGGTTTGGCTCTAGGACAACATTTGTAACACGGCTCCGGGTAACGTTTGGGGCAACGCGGCTCTGGGCGTGTCTATGGGTTTCGCAATTCGGCGGTCGCCGCCGCTCGCCCGCCGCCGTCCTCCCCTCGTCGGCGCGTCGCCCCGGTGCCGTCGTCTCCGCTGGATCGTGTCGTCGTCTCCACTACGTCCCCGCCGCGTCGTCGTCGCCAGCCCGAAGCCCCCTGCCGGCCACGTCGTCGTGGTCGCAGTCGTGTCGCCGCAGCATCGTGTCGCCGCAGTCGTTGTCGCCGACCCTTCGTTGCACCGCCGGTGAACCCCCCGGTGTCGTCAGTGTCCCCGCTTGCCGTCGCCCGTGGCTGCCCACCCGCCCGCTCGCCCGCTGCCGGCCGTCGTGTCATCGCTGCCGCGTCGTCCAGCCGCCATTCGTCCGCGTCCGCCAGTCGTCCGAGCCGAAGCCCCCCTGTCGTCGTCCGTGCGTCGTCGCCACCACCGTTGTCGTCGTCGTCGGTCGTTGTCCTCGTCGTCGCCACCGTCATCGCGCCATCGTCGCCGCCGTCATCGTCGNNCAACACTCTCGGTCACGGGTCGCGCTGCCGTTGTGGTCGTTCGCGTGGGGTCGTCGTCTCCGTCGTCATCTCCGTCCTCGGTCATGTTATGTTCGCCGCTATCGGTCGCCGGTTGTCGTCGTCTGGTCGTCACCGTCGTCCGCCGCCCGTCGTGCCGTTGTCGTCGTTGATCCTCGCCTCTACATCTTCATCCTCACCCGTCGTCGTGCTCAGCCNNACCCTGCCGCCGGCATCGCCGACCTGGGCCTGGGATGTTACACGTCCGTCGTCGTCGGGTCGCCGTCGTCGTCGTCGGGTCGTGGCTGTGCTCGCCGCCGCCGGTTGGCAGTGTTTCGATGTTGGCGCGAGCCGGGGACAGAACACGACAAAACATGAGGGCCACACCGGCACTTCCGATTCTGCACCTCGATTCTGCAGAAAAACGCGCTTGTCTAGAAAACGAGGGAAACGGCCGCACTTCTACTCCAGCCGTGCCTGGTTGAGCTTCGACGTGAGGCCTCCAGACAATGACACGTTCAGCACAGTCCGCGCTGCAGACTCTGAAGAGCTCGGAACAATAATCCACATGTGCACCCTAAAACGCACGTCTGATGAAATTCTAGTGGATCATCAACCAGCTTCCACGCATGCAAGCGCCTGGATTTATCCTTGCATCGCCACTTTGTCGTCCTGGTGTATTCACGTGTGCTCACTGGTCTCTTCTGGACCTCACATTTCCATCGGAAGCCGCTATTTCACCGTCATTTCCAATTCGACGTGGCGGGCCGAATTCCTAGAAAATTGAACAGGGATGTCGGGCTGGTCGGACTGCACAAACACCAGCGAAGCTCGCTGTCCTGCCAAGTACTCCGCGTCTACTTCGATGAAGCTCTTGTCGCTCCACCAGTCTTGCAAGAGGAACCGATCCTGGCCGCTTTTTTTTCTGTGGCCGACCAGAACCATGGCATGAAGGCCGACTTCATTGCTGTTGTCTTGGCCGAGGTGCTGGTGGATCTTGGCGTCCAGGAAGTTCTCGGTGACCATGAAGCCGGACACCAGGGCGGGGCCGAACTCCTTGAGGTTACTGATGATTACATCGATAGTGGCTTGCCCGACAATTTTGTTGACCATGGATCTGCAGTCGAATCCTTCGAGTCCCGAAGCGTTCGCCAGGATCTGGGCGAGGAAAGCTTGGCTTGACCCAGCTTCGTCTTTGAAGATGTGGTCCTCCAGCTCCTGAGCGGTTCTGTACTTTCGGATGTAGTCTGCCAGGTCCAGCATCTTGCTTGTGCCGGTCGGGCTGCCCGCCTGCATCGCTACGAGGTAAGCTTGAAGCACAACTGGGGCGTGCATGTAGCACAGTCCGGAGAGCTGCACACGCTCCAGCAGCCCGCAGCTTATACGTGGATCGTCGCGGAACGCCACATAGGACGAATTACCCCGCCACGACGGGAGTGAGTCCAGTAAGCGAGTGAAGGAGTTGCTGTCGTCCAGCAAACTCTCGCTCTTTTCGCGTTCCAGGACGAGGCGCTCCAGGCGCTCCAGCGACTCCTCATAGATGTCGTCTGGTAGCAGCAATGCTGCGAACTCGGCTCTTCTTACTGCCGATGCTTTCTGCCTCAAGACGCCCTTGGCGTAGAGGAACAGCAACATGATCCCCTGTTCATCGAGCTCCGTCGGCATGCTCTGCCCATCTGAAACCATTAACTGTGCCGCTGCTCCGATGTCTTCCATGCTGAGGTTCCAATCATCCGCCTTCTCCTGCATGTGCTGCTTAACTACTGCCAGTTGCGCCTTCTCGGCCTTCATCCGAACCCGGTCCTCTCCAAGCGCCTCTCCGCGCGCTTCTCCACGCGGCTGCCCGACGCTGCAGAACTTGGGCTGTCCTCTGCGGTGAAGGCGCAGTGCGAGCCCCGCAAAGGCCAGCATGGGCGTGGGCATGGCCTTCGACGGCTGGCGCTCTGTGCTGCCGGCGCAGCCTTTTACAGCAGTTTTGGCTAGTGGACCATCGACCGCGAAGACCTGAGACGGAAGCATTCTCCTGCTGTGCACAAGGCATCGTGACGCCATGGCACACGAGGAAGCCTAGAAGATCGCAAATGAGGCAGTTCGAAGTGCAGGCTGCGCAGGCGCAGGATCCCTGACCAACAAACTGCAAAAAAGCTGTCAGCCACGCTCCTCTCCACTGCCCGTCGTTGCCGGAGCCGGCAGGCCTGATGAGCGCCACACACTCAACGCCAGCAGCTCGAACGGAAGCCAGAAGCTTGGAGAGAGATGGCAGCTGCGCGAAGGCAAGAATCGGGCGAGTTTATGAAAGCTTCACAGCGGCTAGCGACTCGAACTCAGAAGATCGCAACACTGGCGGAGGAGCAGTCACGACCCAACCTGCCTCCCCAAGCGAAGTCGTGACTAGGACGGCCTGGCCAGAGTGGGCGGGTGGGGAGCTTCCCGGAGACGTGGGAAAGGACAGGCGAGCGCAGCACTGGAAAGGCAGGGCTTCCGGCTGAGGGGTGCAACCTATACCTACCAGTCCTACTCCGACCTGGAGCTGTGGGGTGGGGGACCCCGTTGTCATTAAGAAAAGAGCAAAAAGGCCAAAGCGAAGAGACCCGCTTCACCAAAGTCCCAGTGCTCTTTGAAGTGAAAGCGTCCCTGAAGCTCCGAACAAGCTCCTCATCCTGAAGAGCCCCCGCCGCATTGACCAAGGCACAGCCCAGCTCTGAGGCAGAGGGGTCCTGCAAAACGATTGTCCGAAGCTTCCTCAGCTGCAAAGTCCGCACCTCGGACTCTTCGCGGTGCAGTTTGCGGCGGCTGCACGTGACGGCACCGTTGAGCGCGACTTTGCAGAACGAAGGCCTGGCTCTCAGCCTCGCTTGCGACAGTTACAGCATTGCGCAGGCGGACGCGGCCATCTCGGCCGCCATAACAGCCGCCTTGGCGCCGCACGAGACGGCGGTCCAGCGAGATGCCGCGATCGCAGCCGCGCTTGAAAGCTACGATACCGAGGTCTACGCACTGATAGCTGCCGCGCTGACTGCGTACAGCACCACTGCTCAAACGAATGCTGCCATTGCCGCCGCTGTGGCGGGAATCGATCTCAGTCCCTATTACACCAGCGCTCAAACGGACGCCGCGATCGCCGCCGCTTTGGTGCCGGTGACGCTCAGCAACGCGCCTGCTTGGGGAACGAATCCAACGTGGGAACTGTTGAAAGGCGGAAACGTGCTGCGCAATCTGCACTTCGCCGGGCCGCTGATTGCGAGCCTGCAGAACAACGCTGACACGCTGCAGATCGAATGCGACGCGTACGATCGATCGGAAACGTTCACGCAGGCCGAAGTCAATTCGGTGATTTCGGGCGCGATCGACGCGCTGAACATCACGCAGTACATTACCGCCGCGCAGGCCTCGACCGCCATTTCGGACGCGCTTGTGCCGTACTATGACGCCTCGCAGGTCGACGCGCAGATCGCCGCCAACAGCTTTGACGCTAGCGACTATTACACGCGGACCGAAAGCGACGCGAAATATTTTCCCGCCAACGGCAACGCCGGAGGCAACGGCATCATCCCGCTCGTCCTCGAAACTTTCACTCCGAGGATCATCCAACCATTTGCCCCGCTTCCCGCTGACCGGGAACACGATACTCGGCAACGCCGCCACGATCGAGCTGGAGTGCGACTGCTACAGCAAGAGCCAGTCGGATGGGAGGTACCTCTCCAACAGCGATTTCACCCCCCTGGACGGCCGCTATTTCCCAGTGAACGGGAACGCGAGAGGCAACGGAATCTTTCCGATGGTGATCACCACCCTCACGCCGAGAATGATTCGCGCCGTTCTGCCAAGAGCGCCCTTGAGCGGCGCGCTCATTTTGGGCAACGCCGGCACACTGGAATTGAGCTGCGACTGCTGTTCGAAGGCAAAAGCCGACGGCAGGTATTTCGCGGCGTCGCTGGGCAGCGCCCTGGATGGACGCGTGACTGCCTTGGAAGGCAACCCCTTGCCCGCCGACATCAGCGTGAACAGCGTGACCGCGACGGGCGACTGGCTGACTTTGGCGGGCGGGACCGCGGGCACCAGAATTCGCGATGCTGGCAGCAGCGATTTGATCACCGTGACGACTTCGGAAGCCTTCTTTGGCATCAGGGCCAGAGTGGACCACAGGCTCACCATCGATACCCCCAGCGGGGCTGACGAGGGGCTGTACACCGCCGCTGTCAGGGCGAGAGGCGGCGACGCGCTGCTCACGCTGACCGGAGGCAGCGCTGGGCTGCGGGCGGAAGGCGCGATGGAGCTCACGGGAATTTTGATGCGCACGGAAGCCGTTTTTCCAACGAGACTGTCGACTCCCGAAATAGCGCCGTCGCCCAGCACCAACGCGTACATGAGGCTTTTCACGGGCACGACGGGCTTGGAAGTCGCCGATCAGAGCTTGAACCCGCTGCTGCAAGTGGAAGACGACGAAACCAAGAGTCTGAGCAGAGTGTTCTCGATCAGCAGGTCCGCCACGGGCGGCGACGTCGGAGCGATCTTTCGAAACACCACCCCCGTCGGCTTCGCTAGGCTGCAGCTGGGAGCCAACTCTGCGGTGGGCTTCGCGCAGCTCGAAGTGCCCTCCACGGGAGGTTGCACGGTGTACGCGCCTGGCCAGGAAATTTGGCTGCAGAACAGAGTTTCGGGACAAGCCCCGCTGATCGTCGAGACGGACAGCGACGTCACCGTGACCTACGGCTTCAACAATTTGTCGGACGCTCGCGTGAAGCGGAACATCAGAGAAGCGGACTTGGGAGCGCTGCAAGGCATCTTCGGCGCCGCGCAGCCTAAAATGTACGACCGAAGCGACATCGAAAAGACCGATTGCCTGGGGTTTGTGGCGCAGGACTTCGCGAAGAGCTCCTCCATGGTTGGCTGCTTTTCCTATAGCGTCCGACAGAAAAAAGGTCCGACCACCATGTTCGGCAGCCCCGCGACTATTCAGGAGCTGCACCCAAAGTATTGTGCATCGATTCAACAAGCCCTGTCATGTGCAGTTTGCCTTGGAGCTACCTATTGCAAGTACGGTTATCCTTACAAGAAGGCCACGCGCCTTTGGCACAACTTGCCTTGGACTCCCGAACACAAGCCTCCTGGACAGGTGCTCGCAAGCCCGGGAAAACGGCGGCAGGCACCCCGCTTTGGCGCAGCGAGGCAGTCAGCCGACGTGCACAGACAACAGAAACTCCCAAAGGCAGCTGTTCAGCATTCCGCCGGCGCTGTGCAGGGAGATGGCTTCGGCCGTCAACCTCGCGACCGGGCCTTAGGCTTGGCTTTTTTGCTTTCAAGCGCTTCTATTCTCGCTTGGAGCTGCTTGCAAACTCCCCAAAGCACCGCCGTCAGCTTGCAGTAGTCGAGCGTGAGCAGCTCTTCGTCGTCTCGCCTGGTGGTAGCTCCGTCTTGGAAACTTGCAGACCAACTCCCGCGGGGGAAAATGGATGCCTGCGCAGACTCCGATTGTGTGGAAAAGCACCGAGTGGGCTATGAGCCTTCTAATTACGAGGGCAAAGGAGATCGCGTGAACCTGGTCCTGCGGCTGACTGAAGACGCAAGCAAATTTGCAGAAACCGTCGAGCGTCAGGCCTTGGCGCGGCTGAACGATAAGCAATTCCAATTGCAATCCTGCATCAAAGACACCAAAGCGGGACTTGCGCTGAAGTGCAACATGAACTTGAATCATGTCAGATTCTGGAACGCTGACGGAAAGCGCTTGCAATGTTCTCCGATGAATTTGTGCGGCAGATATGCAACTGTCGCATTGGACGTGCGTGGAGTGTGGCTGATGGGCAACGCTTGCGGACTCCTTCTGGAATGTCGCGACATCAAGTTGCAAGACTCCGGCGAGGAGGTCTGCCCACTCTGAGCTATCATGCTGCACGAAAGAAGCTGTGGCTTTGCCAGCGCAGGCCTTCCGAAAAAGCACAGCACAGCAGACCGCTTCCTTATTGGAATTCCTTCAGTCTTGAGCACTTGCCCGCCGTAAATTTGGAATTTGTTTTTCTTGAGTTTTACCGCTGGAGCAATTTTTTTTTTGCAAATTTGAAGAACAGCAAAAATGCAAATCCACCGTTTTGCAAGCTCCTACAAGGTGGTGCCCCCGAGTTATAAGTAAGTTATAACATATGTTGTCGAATTTATAAGTACCTTTGACATATGTTATCGGAATTATAAATCCATTAACTTCTCTAACTGCTGGTAATAGTTATAACTTAGTTATGCCATAACTTCGATAACTTCTAACTGCATTATTTTATAGTGTTTTTCGCGATTAAGTAATGATATTATTTTTAAATTATAATTATGCAAACGCTAGGAACCTAGAGCAAACGACAGGATTTCTCAAGCTTTTTGTAGGAAGTGGAACAAGTTAAGAAATCACGGAACAGAGGCAGTGGAGGAAATTCAAGTTTGTTGCAAAGCAATATCGGACGTGTTTGTGCACTTTCATGTTGAGTTTTTTTGTGTGTAGCATTTTGTTTGCAATAAGTGTCATTCTTACACATGATTTATCGACTTTTCGTTTCTAGATTCATTGTGTCAAGCTGGGTGTCTGCTTCGGCGGCCATGCCACACGCAGACAGCGCAGTGCAGAAGACAACCTCGAGAAACTTTGGTGCCAAAGCTGGGAATAAGCAGAGAATCGGGACACAACCGATCCACAAGCGACCCACAACGGGACCACATGAAAAAAAACATTTGGACCACAAGCAACCCACAACTCACAACGGGACCACAAGAAAAACAAAATTGGGACCACAAGCAACTACAAGAGACCAAGCGTACTACAAGCCAATCTTTGAGACAGTCACAAAAACTAGAAACTCACAACAGAACTACTAGAGTTTTTCTGCAGCTACAGGCTATGATGTTCTTTGGGATTTCAAGTTTAAAGTTTTGTGTTGAAGCTTCACGTTTCGAGCTTTCGAGTTTAAACTTTCAGGGTTTAGGAATTAGAATTTAAGTTTCAGGGCTGCAAGACCCTCTGCGATTTTACGCCTGTGTATGTGAAAAACACATAAGCCTCTCTGTACATTTGCCTTGGACATGTCTTGTTTGGTTTTCACATACTCATCAACTTCGATAACTTCGCATTGGCAGATAATTGGCAAAACATGCAATTTGGCTAGCAACATTTGGCAAAACAATCGCAAATAATTTGTAAAAATGATGAATACTGCATAACATGCTTGTACAGACATGTTAGTTTTCAAAAATTTCATTTCTGAAAAGATGCGCGCAACTGCGCAAAACGGTGACATCAAAAGTTGCTTAATTTCGCCGCTTTCCAAAAACAGAAAAAGAGGTTCCATGAGCATCACATATCGTTACAGTAGAGGCGGAGAAGAGCGATCGGGCCGGGTGGTAAGAACCGTGGGTGAGGATCGAACATGGAGAATGAGGATAGAGGTGACGATAAGGCAAAGGAAGGAGAACGACGACACTCTCTCTTGTATCCATGTTTCAA